GACCAGGTGAATCAGTGAACTCTTGAAAAGAGCAGGGAAATTTGCAAATATACTGACGTATATTTCAACCAATAAGATCACTTATACATAGTTTAAACAGAGTCTGAACCAATGAGATTACTCCGTTGAAATCGTCACTTCCTCAACGGTTCAACGGTTATAGATATCCTTGAAACAAGGAAATGTTTATCTGTAATGTTTTCAAGGAATTCGGATTCTTTTCAAATCTTATTACTAAAAGAAGTTATGAACTTCGTTGCAGAGTGTTAAAGTGTTTAAAAGCTCGCTGATCTTGCTTTTGCCATTTGATGAATGGCAATGATCAATAAAATCATATTTGGCCCAGTTCAAATTGATTTTGTTGTTATCGGAAAACCTTTGCCGTTAACAATGTCGCTACAACTTGTTGGAACTGTCTTGTTACAGCATTGTCACGCGCAGCCTTCGTACAAGCTTGTTGTGACAGGCTTGTTACAACTTGATGACTATAACAACTTGTCAACAAGTTGCTCCAACAAGCTTGGTACAGCTTGTTGTCGACAAGCTTGGAACAAGTTGTTCCAACAACTTGCTACAAGTCTGCAAGCCAACAAGTTGTAGCAAGCTTGATGTCAACAAGCTTGCTACAACCTGTTGTCTCAACAAGCTTGTTACAACTTGTCAACAAGCTTGCTACAAGCTTGTTGAGCTAACAAGTTGTCAACAACATGTGAGATTTTTAGGTGTGTAGCAAAGTGCGAGTACACACGTAAAAACGCACAAATTGTAACAAGCCTGCAGACAACTTGTCCCAAATCTGTCCCAACAACTTGTCAACAGGATGTCTTCGCACTGGCAATAACAGCTTGTTGCGACGGACTTTTGGGGGCTTGTTGACGAACTTGTAGCAAGACTGTTGTGACAATACTGTAGCAAGCTGTTAGTAACACGTTTGTAGCAAGCGGGTTAACAATTTGTAACAAGGTTGTGAACAACTTGTAGCAAGCTTGTTGAAAATATACTGTAGCAACTTGTCAAATTCTATCTGTAACAAGATTGTTTCATCAAGCTTGCTACAAACTGGGCGCCGCGAGTAAAAATACACTTGCGTATTTTCCAGGGGGGGGTTTCAAAGAACAAACAAACAACATGTTGATAGAAAGTTTGAGCTGTGTACTTTATAACAAATATAAACATTTACAAGATATTAAAAACAATTTTACAAAGTGCAGGTTAATACCGAAGGTGAGTGTAAACTCTAAAATTATTCTTGTGTGTACACAACGAGTACGAGTAATAGGCTGATACCATATATTTCATTTGAGTAAAAATGTCTTATTAAATATATAAAACATTGAATATAAGATGTCATTGTGAATCAATTTTTAAAAATTTGTTAACCCTAAACATGTGAAATATGTGCAACGTGTTCAGTGATGTATTAAAATGTGCAATCATAATTTCACACACACTGCCGGGTGGGATGCCTTGCTCGCCCCTGACCTTTAATAAATCCTCATCTCTCATCATTTACATTGCATCCTTAACTAAAACTTAGTTTTTACAAAACCCTACAATTATAACTGAATTACTGCTCAGGGTGGGTGGGTGGGGATTTTAGGTCAGGCCTGCTAGCAAAACAAAAACTGAACTTCCCCCCCCGACCCCCTGTAGATAAGCCTTCCCCCCCAGCAGTGTGTATGAAAAACATTTTCTGCCTCTTTCGTGCCTCAGCCAGCAGAAAATCACACTTCACACACACTGCCGGGTGGGATGCCTTGCTCGCAAAGCAAAACGCATAGAGCGTGTCCAATTGTTATAACCAAACTTAACAATGTCAAAGAGTTTCTAGTTCATAGAGTAATGTCATCGCTGATTTTGTATAGATTTAGTCACAAGCAATAATGAGTCAAGCGATTCCTTGAAATAATTATTCTTTGCTGTCTCGCTTCTCCATCCGCCATGTCGTTGGAATAACCGATCAGGCACACCTATAGCTGCTGCTGCGGATGCTCCACCCGAACGTAGGCTGTGTATGCTGTAGCGTTTGTTGCATAACCCTTCCTTCTTTAACTCCTCCTTCAGTAGCTGATTGGCACGGCTATAAGACATTCCTTGTTCCTTGAGTTTCCAGCCATTTTTTGTATGCTGGACCCGCCGAAATAGCTTGGACCCAGCCTTGTGTCGGCCCAGTTCTACAAATTTCCTTACTACAGCTACTGGGCAAGGTTGCACGTCGGAGTTAGCAATGAAGACCCACGAGCCTTCCCTGAATTGGTCGTTCTTCCGTTTCTCCAAAAAAAAAGCCATATGAGATCTTTCAAATTGTATGCTGTCAAATGTGAGATTGCTAAGGTCATCCCAGCGAAGAAACCCAAAAAATCCTAACGCAATTAGTGTTGCTAACTGGAGCTCCGCAAGATTTCCTTGCTGCAACCGTTGCACTAACTTGCGTACCATGTCCGTTTCCAGAGGAACCTTTCTTTTTACAGGTCTAGCCAGGATCCGCCGTGCTGCTTCCACAACTTGCTTTACTAAAGGCTGCTGCGAGAGCTCGTCAAACCTACTCTTTTTATGAACCCAGCTAACACCATAAACAATTGAGTTAATGGCTGCTATGGATCTAACTTGCTGGATTAGATATACTAAATACAAGGAAAAAGTTACCGGGTCTGCTGGCAAGGCCACCACGTCATGATGCATAGCCCATTCTTTCCATCTGCCAAAAGCATTCACATATGTAGATACCGTTTTTTCTGCCTTGTCCTGAACTAAAGCAGTGTTTACACTAGAGACCTATACCTGACCTAAGACCTAACTTAAGCAGTTAGTCCTGTAGTGTAAACGCACTAGGACTGACCTAAGACCGACCTAGGACCGACCTAAGACCATGATTTCAGGCCAAGCATTAGAGGTGGCCTGAAAACATGATATTAGGTAAGTCCTAGGTAAGTCTCAGGTCACTCTGGTGGTGTAAACACATTTTCATTGACCCAAGTGTAATCGAAGCTAATTTCCTTGACAACAAACGTAAATTCGAGTCTTTGATGTCAGCATTTAGCGGTCTTAGAATTTTAGCGCGATTTTGCAAAAATTATGGGGAAATTCAGAGTTGATAATTAGCCACATGGCGAATTTCGGAACCGTTGCCGAATATATATCATATATTTTTTAATTTTGCATGAAATCGTTGTTTGCCAGTAATCCCAGTTATACGTCGTATTCTTTTACGAGTCTTTGTAGTTTGTACGAAATAAACAAACAAAGAACTGCAAACTTATATTTTAATACTCTTCTCACAGTACTTTATGTTGCGTGATTTATATAAGTCCCGTTAGGTAACTGGTGTAAACACACCCTGTAAAACTTGGTTAGGTACTTCTCAGGTACGGGCAAATGTCAGGTAAATGTCAGCCCCTTCGTGTAAACACGGCTTAAGATACCAGGCAGAACGCGAGCCAATTCAGCCAACTCTGGGTCTTCGAAGTGTGCAGGATTAATAGTTGCTGGTAGTAAAACCGTCTCTAAAGCACGTCGCACAACTTAAAACACAATCAATCATGCATGTTAAATGGCTTAAAAGGCAACATTGTGCCATAACAAGTATTTTTCCCCGAACAGGCATTCTTTGCCCCTAACAGGCAGTCTGCCTTTAACAGGCATTCTTTGCCCTTAACAGGCATACTTTACCTCTAACAGGCATTCCTTACCCCTAACAGGCATTCTTTGCCCCTAACAGGCATTCCTTGCCCATAACAGGCATTTCTTGCCCCTAACAGGCATTTCTTGCCCCTAACAGGCATTTCGTGCCCATAACAGGCATTTGTTGCCCCCAGCAAGTAATCTTTACCCCTCATGGCCTGATATTTGTCCCAGACAAGTACTCACCAATGCTATACCCCCTAAAAGAACTGGACTCGCAGCGCGAGGATAGAATATGCAGGTATGCCTGATGCAAATTGGCTGCTTGCCGCTGAACCAGGGACCAGGATACCATCGTATGGCTCAAATGTACAGCTATCTTTTACAAAGGTTTTCCACAATCCTTCCTTTGTCACTAATAGAGGCCACCATGGAGCTGAATGCCATTCTGGTAAAATTATTGTTCCAGTTTCTTTTCCTGCAGCCATGCGTTGTAGCACTCGTGGGATGAGATATGGTGGGGGGAAAATCCAGTTGTTCTCACCTGCCCAATTGGCAGTAAATGCATCCACTGCCTCACACCCCGGGTTTAGGAATTGACTGCAAAAACGGGGCAATAGCTTGGTTTTTACACTTGCAAAGCGATCAACAGTATGGGGACCCCAACGGTCCTCCAGTTGGAGAAATGCCATTGGTCTAGATTGTAGTCATTTGCATCGTCTATCCTTGATAATGCATCAGCCAGCTCATTTTCATCACGACTCACCCATTCTACTGATAACCGAATGTTGTTAGCTTGGCAAAGTTTGTATACCTCAATGGCCTCCTGGTGTAGAGCTTGCCTCCTGCTTCCCACTGACATGATACGTACTGTGTTCATGTTGTCCGTCCTGTGTAGCACTTCCTTGCCAGAAAGTTTGCTCAGCAATGAGTGTAATACCAACTTAGTTCCTCTGATCTCCCTCCATGTTGAACTCTCTTTCGCCTCGGCTTCCGACCAACAACCAGTAGCTGAAATTTCACCAATCTGAACAGCATAACCACCCCAGCCTGTATTGCTGGCATCAGAGTAAGTTATTACTTCGGTTTTTGGACTGGGAGACCATATGGGGTAACCACTATTATTAAAGTTCTCTGTCCAAAACTGAACTTCCCTCTTGGCCTCGTCTGAAATTGTAGATACAATATCCCAAAATAGGGATTGGAGGATTGTCTGTATAGCCCCCTGGTCCGAAGGCGCACTACAGGTCCCAGTGCCAGCCCCATTGACACCAAAAGCCCAGTGAGACGTGAAAGGTTTCTTGCAGACGTGATGAACTCCTGTACAGTAATCTCCTGAAGTACCCTTCGAAGATGTTCCACTCTTTTGGGGGGACAGAAAATGTACCTGACTGCAGATCCATAATAAAGCCCAGCAGCTCGCCTGACTGACAGGGTTCCCATTGACACTTGTCGTTATGGGCTACAAACCCACTCTGTGCCACATCGTGCTGCACCAACATAGATGTTTTCTGAGCTTCCTCTTTGCTAGACTCAGCTCCAGCACCATCATCAAGGTATGTAAAGATTCTAATACCTTTCCCTCTCCAGTGCTTCACTAAAACTCGTTGTATCTTCGAAAATACATATGGACCGGTCGATAGGCCAAATGGGAAGACAGTAAATTTAAAAAAATTTTGAGATCCATTAACTTTCCACGAACAACCAAGAAAAGTGGTATGGGGAGGAAAAATCTCTATGTGGTGATAACCACTGGTGTAATCAAACTTGAAAAACCAGTCCCCTTGGGTGAATAGGGTTGTTGCTGTTCGAATATCCTCATACTTGAACTTACAAGATCGCAAGTGCTTGTTTACATAGCGCAAGTCTAAAATCAGTCTATGTTTCCCAGAACGATTATACACAACTCCCAATGGACTACACACTGTCACCTCCTGTTCTTTAACTTCGACCAATGCTCCTGACAATAAAAGTTTCTCAATTTCTTTTGACACAAAGTTAGATGCCCCAAGTGCACTGTTGTGATTAGCTAGTGTCACTTGTTTAGGCATGTCAATGAATGGCAGGGAATACCCTACCCGAATAATTTTTAGTACCCAATTGTTTGCACCAATGCTTTCCCAGAATGAAATATTTTCTCGTAAGCGACCTTTCACTTTTGAACTCGAGTTTATGTCCAATTTCTCAACATTAACAAAACTATTAACACAATTCAACGACTCCCCTGATTTAAAATTTTCCATGGTTACATTATTTATAAAGTTATCTTTCTCCCATTCATTGGGAAGCTGGTTGTTGTGCAAGTGTTCCTGGTTGCACTCCATTGAATGTAACTGTTCGGGTTGTGTTTGCTGCTCTACAATCCCTCGCGAAGTGTCCTGGTCTAAGGCAACGAAAACACGTAGGGTTCGTATTACGCGTCATATTGGATTTTCCCGCCGAAGTTCCATTTAATGGGAATGACGACCTGTCAACGACGCCACGTTGTTGCTCGGAGGGAACATTAACATGTGTACTTTGTTAGATTGGTCATGTTCAAATATATGCTTATCTTTGTTGGTAACTTCTCTTTCCTCTACAACAGGCATCTCGGCATCCACAAATCCACATTGGTAGTCACAGTTATGTACCACACTTACTTTCTCCAACAAGGCTGTAGATGGTATCAATCTTTTTGTTTCTGTTTCTTCAAGCAACGGTGATCTGAATTTCCCGTATACTATATTGCCATTATCATCAATCTTCTTTTTGAACTCTGCAAGTAGCACCCAATTTTCTGTAACACCATCCAATGAAAATTGTACTGATGTGCAAAATTTTCCAAAGCAAGCCTATGAAAATAATGTATATACTAATCAATGAGTAGGCTGACTTATCTGATGAGTGCCACATACATCAGTGGTACAAAACTATTAGTAATAGTATACAAATTGTTGAGTCGTTATTCACAATTATGCTGCCGGTGTGGTGAAAATGCAGAGCTGTTGACAAAATCTAAATTTTTACAATGTTTATACCTCATTGTTACGGTTGTAGTATGCAAAAACGTCTCCTTTATGTATAAGACTCTTGTCTTGTGCGACACATGCTTTGAATTCTTTGCACTTTGGTTGCAAGTTCACATTCTGCATGTTGATATCTTCTTGAACTGTGACCTGTGTGGTTGGCAGAATGTCTACAGTGACAATGCGCATCTTTCCATTTTTGCAATTTCCCTAGGTGAAAATTTAAAGAGTTATTTGCTTTTTAGTTAATTTGTGAAGCTGAGTAAATGACAAATGGCAAAGCTCCCTGGCAAAGCTTGTTATGTCAACATGTCTTATGGTATGTACCACATATTAGAACTTACCAGACGTAGGCTTCCAGGCTGGTAAATTTCCTTGTGCATTAAGCCTGATGCTTTTGGTTCCACCTGGTACATAAATTTCTGAAAAGCTGGCTGCTGGGTTATTTGGATCAATTCTTTTGAAGCACATCTCCTAAAATGGAAATAACCACAATGTTCAAGTACAACACACAACAGGCTGTAATGCCTTACATACAGTGTTTTATGCCATATAGAGATGTACCTGTTGCTGCCATTCTTCCAGTATCCCCCACTGATCAAGAACTTAAGTTGGTGGCGCTTTGCAAATTTTTCTCCTATATCTTTGCTACTGGCTTGGCGGTAGGAAAAGATATTCAATTGTCTGATGATGGAGTTAAATGCCTCAAATCTAAGGTATGAAAGCATTGTATATTTTCATATATAAGCATTAAGAGCAATTAAGCTAAGATGTAGCTTTGATATAGTATTAAGAGCGACTATGTAAGCTAAGATGTAGCTTTGATAGAGTTGATAGAGTTATAAATACCTTTCAGTGCAGAAACCAATAGGTGGTCCATAGTTCCTCATGTCATCCTGTAAGTGCAGCAACATATGGAATTTTTGTTTTTGCATAAATTCAGGATGTACTTCGCTGATGCACTCAATTGTTTGCTCCATCAGGGCGGTGATGTTGTCCATGTCCTGAATGTCAACTTCTGATCCATATGCCATGGCAAACATCTAAAAGAATACATATATAAAATTATAGAGTATTGTTTTCAATCAACGGATGTGTTATTCATTTCTGGTATCAGTTAAGGTGTCTTAATCAATTTTTTTATATACCAGGAACTGTTAAATAGTATAAGCTCACACACAAGTTATTTTATTCTATTTTAATGTCAAATTCCAGTTCCTAAAAGCGCAAGCTTTTTACAAAACAATAGAAAAACCTAACACAACGTTCGGGGCGTCCGTGTTCAATCTTAAGGGGCAATTCTGCCCCATGCTTCTGAGCGCCCCGTAACATCTCCCTCTTTCTGAGTTAAACATAAACGTTTTTCATCATACTTATATTAGTTTTCAGTCACGTAGTCTTCAAGATATGCCGGTCTACGTGTTTGTCTATTTGATGTTCTCACTGTGCTCCTGGGAGTGGTGTGCTCTACAGGTGGCTGAGGAATTGGTTCTTCAGATTCAGGCTCCTGCTGCTGGCCTGGTGTATCCTGCTCTTGCACTGGCAACTCTCCGTCTACATCTGCTTCTGAATCGCCTAGCTCTGCAGTTTTCCGGATATGCCTGCGATTTCTTCTATAGTTTCCTCCATCATCAGTTGCCACAATATACGACCTTGGACTAACAATCGCTTTCACCGTCCCTTTCCTCCACCTATCCTTTCCTTTCTCGGGCATCATACGAACCGCATCACCGACCTTGAGTGGTGTAAGCTTCTTGGATCCTCTATTGTAATAGTAGGCTTGTTTAGCTCTTGCCTTTTTCAGCTCTTGCTTTGTTGAATGCGTACAGGTGGGCTCAAGCAGTTGGCGCGAGATTGGAATTTGGGATCTTGTTCTCCTGTCAAACAATCGTTGGGCGGGCGAGGTAGTCATACCTTCCGATGGCGTGTTCCGGTGTTCTAGTATTGCCAGGTACGGATCTGCTTTCGCATCCAACGCTTTCTTCATAATTCGCTTTGCTATCTTCACAGCACTTTCCGCTTTCCCATTCGATTGAGGATATCGAGGCGACGAGGTCACATGCTCGAATTCATAGCGTGTGGCAAAAACCTGAAACTCGCGGGAACTGTATTGAGGACCGTTGTCACTGACTACCCTCTCCGGTATCCCGTATCTTGCCATGTGTGCCTTTAATTTGTGGATTACTTCAGTGCTGGTCTTCGAGTACAGTCTATCCACCTCTATAAAGTTAGAGTAGTAATCTACTGTAACAAGATAATCTTTGTTTCCAAACTCAAACAAGTCTGTTGCAATCGACTCCCATGGACGCGTTGGGACTGGAGAACTCATAAGAGGTTCTTTCTGGTTTATTGTTCGGTACTGCGCACAAATATTGCACTTTGCGATGAGATCCTCAATGTTTTTGTTCATTCTGGCCAATAGAATACTTCCCTGGCTCTTCTGAGTGTAGCCTGTACCCCACCATGGTTGTAGTGAAGTTTCTCTTGCATTTCAGCTCTCAATCCTTCAGGCACAATCAATCTCTCTCCTTTAAAGATAACTCCATTTTGTACGGTCAACTCGTCGCGAAACGGGTAATACACTCGTAATGCTGGAGACACCTCATTCTCTGTGTTTGGCCACCCTTCTTTCACAATTCTCACCAGTGCCTGCAGGTTGCTGTCTGCCGCTGTGTGCTTTTAATTTGGGCTAGAGTAGTTTCTCTTACTGCTAGATTCTGCAACATGTCAATTTGCTCTACTTCTCTTTCCGTTATTGATCTTGTGTCCTGCATGATCATTACTTCCTCGGTCTCTCCTGGTCCTTCGACATTGGGCTGGTGGGAAGTTGCTCGACTTAGCGTATCTGCCATAAACATAAGTGGTCCCTTCTTGTACACGACTTCGAGCTCAAACTTCTGGAGTCGTAGCATCATACGTTGTAGGCGCTTTGGTGCACTTAGTAGGCTTTTTTTAGGGTTGACTCAAGTGGTTTATGATCTGATTCTACTTTTACGTGTCGACCATACAGATAACTTTCAAATCTCTCCATCCCATACACGATGTCCAGCATCTCCTTCTCTATCTGAGCGTACTGTACTTCGGTTGGTGTTAACGACCTTGACGCATATGCCACTGGTTGGTTGTTCTGTAACAGGCAGGCCCCAAGACCATTCATGGATGCATCACACTGCAGGACTGGCATTACATCAGGGTCGAAGAACCGTAGCACTGGTGGTTCTGAGAGCATCTGTCGGATTTCCTCCAACGCTTTCCCATGCACATGCTTCTCCCACCGGAATTCATGTCCGTGCTTGATCAGATCACGTAGAGGTGTAGTGATCTCAGCTAACTTAGGGGCGAACTTTTGCACATAGTTCACCATGCCAAGCAATCTCTGTACTCCCAACTTGTCTGTGGGGGCAGGCATGTCTCTGATGGCCTTCGTCTTCTCGGGGTCGATCTTCAGTCCATTCGATGTCAGACGATGGCCCATGTAGCTAACCTCTTCGAGTCGAAGTTGAATCTTGTCAGGGTTGAGCTTGAGACCCTTCTCTCTACACCGTTCCATCAAACCCCTGAGGTTCTTGTCATGGTCGAGATATGCCTCTTCATCTGTCGCACCACTGCCATAAACAAGAAGGTCATCTGCGATGACTTTGACTCCAGGTAGACCCAACAAGATATCGTTCACACGTCGTTGAAACTCTTCAGGTGCGGGTGATATGCCGAAGGGCATTTGCAACCACCGATACCGACCCCATGGAGTGCCAAAGGTTGTTGCATATGAACTGGCCTCATCAGGCTGGATATGCCAAAACCCGTTCTTGGCATCAAGGACTGAGAAACAGCGAGCGTGGGCCAAATCCGGTAGGATCTCATCAATGGTGGGTGAAGGGTAATGGTTACGCTTGAGGGCTTTATTTAATGGTTTGGGGTCAATACACAAACGGATGTCCCCATTCTTCTTGACTGTAACAACAATAGCCGATATCCAGGTCGTCGGCGTATCCACTGGAGCTATGACATTCGTGTCAACTAGTCGGTCAAGCTCTGCTTTGAGTTTGTCTTTTACAGCCAGTGGAATCCTTCGTGTTGGGAGCTGGACTGGGGAAATAGTTTCATCAATCTCTAGATGCAGTTCCCTGGGTAAAGTTCCTTGACCTTGGACTGTTCCAATACTCCTTAATGAGATACTTTTTGGTGATAAACTTGGGTGCATCTTTGACGCTCGGCGTAGTTGTAAAAATGTTCTCTTTGTTAACAACAAGTAAGTTCATGAGCTGACTGGCTTTAGCCCCAAGTATGGACTTGCAATTCTCTTCCACAACCATAAACTCTATGCTGTACTTCTTGTTATTCTTAGGATTGATAACTTGGAGCCTTGTCTTTCCAATAGGCTTCACTTCTGACCCATTATACATTACCAGAGTTGTGTTTGTCTTCACCAACTTCTTCTCGATAGGCTTTTGGAAACACCCTGCCAGTGTTCTTTTAGATAGTACGTTTACTGTTGCTCCACTGTCAAGCTGGAAACTTTCAAGTGTTCTGTTAATCATCAAGGAGGCACTTGGTTTGTGGGTGTATTGATCAGAGTTAACAGCACCCACCTCTTCTTTGGTCTCCACCAGAGCTATATACTCTCCTTCTGACGAGTCTGTATCCGTATTGATGCCGGATACTGGCTCTCTTTTGGTCAATGGTCTTCTCTGAGCATTGCAGACGACTGCGAAGTGGTTCTTTCTTTTACACTGTGAAAGCTGGGCATTTGAATTTATCTCTGAGATGAGATTTACTGCAAAATTTACACCTTATTAGCCCTTCGTCAGCTCTTTTCTCAACTGGCTTCCTCTGCTCTTTGTGCTGTTCTTTGCTAACAGCCAACACTTTCTCATCTTCAGCTTTCATCGACTCGAGTTGCTTCGCCGTCTTCTCCCAAGACCGAACTATATCTATGCTTTGTTGCAGGGTAAGCTTTGAGACTTGCAATAATTTCTTTCGTGTGGCGTTGTCCTTAATACCCATAACAATACGATCTCTTATCAAGCTGTCTTCCAAATTACCAAAGTTACATGTCTTGGCTAATGTGCGAAGGACTGCGAAGTAAGCATCGACCGTTTCGTGTGACTCTTGATCTCTTTTATTAAAACAGTACCGTTCGTACGTCTCATTTGTTTCTCCAATACAATACTTTTCCAACTTACTTACAACAACATCGATGTCTTTTCTCTCTTCTTCATTCGCGAAATCCAAACCGTCCAAGACATCCAGAGCATCAGCTCCAATGCACGTCAACAAAGTCGCTGTTCGCAGCTCTTTGTTTGTACTAGGGTCACTAGAGTCCCGCAGCCGTGCGGCAAGTTCGTAGTTGCGCCAAGCACGATAAAACCGTTTCCAATTCGTTGCCAGGTTACCGGTCATGGCCAGCTGAGGTGGCATTGGCAAATTCACCGGAATTTGCACCACTTTAACCTCCTGAGAAGGCTGAGATGCCGTTGAGGTTGTCGCTTGCTCATGGTCCGTCATATTTTCAATCAGACACGATCTTCTGAAATACTTCACTCGTAATTTTAACACAAGCTCCTGGAATGCTTCACACGATAAGTCTTCTAAGCGATAAGTAACTGTTTACCTCACTCCTGGTACCATGTTAAATAGTATAAGCTCACACACAAGTTATTTTATTCTATTTTAATGTCAAATTCCAGTTCCTAAAAGCGCAAGCTTTTTACAAAACAATAGAAAAACCTAACACAACGTTCGGGGCGTCCGTGTTCAATCTTAAGGGGCAATTCTGCCCCATGCTTCTGAGCGCCCCGTAACAGGAACGTGTGTACATGAAACACAATTTGCAATAAAATACCAAAGCGACAGCATTGGAACAAACTTGTCTTACTTCACTGATGTACAACCAAACTTCCAGTTCTGCTTCCGCAATTATTCCGTCGAGAATAAACACTGAAAATAGTCGGACGTACGAAAGATGACGAACATACTGGTTAGCTGGAAAACACAGACACTGACACACTGACACTGACACACTGACACTGACATGGAAAACGCTACTACCTTCAACTACATGCAACTACCTTCGAAATTCAAACGATATAAATGAAATCTTGATTTTTATTTATACCAATCCGAAAGCAGCGAAGAACGCGCGAGCGAGTATGTTCGTCATTTTTCGTACGTCCGACTATGGCCGAAGATGGACGGACAAACACACGGACCCACAGACCACAGACACTTTTCAACTACATAGTGGTAAGCCGCGTATGCGCAGCGGCTACCCACAAAAAATGAGAAAAAACAACAAATTTAAGGTTTTAGTATAGTTTATAAACTAAAAAAGAAAAAAATATTGACACAAACTAAAAAAGGAAAAAAATATTGACACAATACAATTATAAAATATGTGAAGGGAGTTCAAATCCGAGAGGGAGGTCACAGTGAACTCTATATATATGGAAGGCTCGCTCCAGTTCAAAAAAGTATTATATGGGTCAGAATCTGGGTACATAACCATGCAAATTAATCGCCTGCATTGGCATCTACCGCAGACCAGTGATCAAGCAGGCGCAGCAGGACCTAACCAAGATGGCGGAAAGTTCGAAGAAAAAAAGGACGAAGCCTTGGAAAACTGTTGTTATAAATGGTAAGAGGAAATATATATTTGGAGAGAATCTTGCTAAAGATCAGTCAAAAGTCCGAGCTCCACATCGGATAAGTACCTCGCAAATGGTTCGTGAAGATCGGTCTACATCTTCCACAAATATTTCCCTGACGGAGTCGGAGTGTCATTCAGATTCTCAACCACAATTTTCATGTGATCAGTACGATGAAAATACAACGCCAGAAGTCGTTATTGATTGTCAACCTCCTCATTCATCGCTGGTGCAAAACACTGAAGCAAATGTGGAAATTGCCTATGCTACTGAGCTTTCTAGGTTAGAGATGGTAACTGTAGTAACCAAATGCGCATTTGTATTGCCCGACTTTAACGTCGAAAGTAAACGAATAAAGGTAAGAGCACAATGCAATGAAATAAGGCAAGTGTTGCTGATCATTAGCATCTTCATTGAGAGAACAAAGCTCTTTATCTTGCTTAATACTTATATATAGTTAATATTTCAATACTGGATGATATATAATTAAACCTGTATTTACATATTAGTTATTACAATATGTATACTGTTAGAGAATAAGAGAGTTTGCAACATGGCTGGCAATAATGATTAATTACAAAATAACTACCAATTATTGTGCTGAAGGAAATGAACTTCATTGTGGTACACAGAAGTGTCTGGCTGCTACTACCTACCAATCAGTATGATTGGCTATACAGCTGTTCATGCTCACCTAGAAGGAGTCAACTGCTCTCTGGATTGTCAAAGTTATTACAGCAGGAACCATCCCGTGAGTACACAACATATACAGCCATATGTTGCATCAGGGATGAACAATGTTGCGCTGCACTCTATAAACAGTATTGTTAATGTTGTTGAACCTTGTTGAATCATCAGTGTTGATGCAATGTTGTTGTGACAAGTTGCAACAGCATTGATATCTCAACAAGTTTCAACAACATTGTTAACAATACTGTTCGCAGGATGCAGCAGCACAACATAGTTCACTCCTGTTTTTAACAATGTGCATCAACATGGTGATTTTTAGGTGTGCAGTAAAATAATATGATATCAAGGAGTGGCAATTGTTGCTACTCAATGGCATCAGATAGTTTTATTGGTCAGGGGAAAAAGTATATCTGGATGCATTGTTAGTAAATTTGTAAGATATAGAGGTGTTCAGTGATGTTTAGGTCCTGGTATGTAATGTTTAGGCTCATAGGGTCAAAATTTTTATCCTTGAGATTGTGAAAACAGCCTATATCTACCTCTTCCAGTAAGCTGATCTGTAAAAATGAGTACACATTTTTATAAATATTTATATATCTGTGAGTATAAATATTTATAAAAATGTTAGTTACCCATTTTCTCCAACCCAACCCCTCCCCCCACTCCATCCTCGCATGACACTAATAATAAGTTTTATTCTATAATGATATTTTGAATATGGTTAGTCTGGATTTAGTGAGGAATTCACATTTGTGTGTGGTGCATTGCAGACAAAATCTTGGTTTAACTTAATTTAGATCTCCGTAATTCAGTGTGTATTCACATAAAAGCAATATGTCACTTACTTCTGGATTATGACTCACAACATGGAATTACTCCAGAAGAACAAGAAAAAGAAAGTTCAATGAATGACCATACATATAAGGTAATTAAAGTAATTTTTATGTTTTCTTTCTACATCTAATTCTGTTGTACAAATTATGTATTTATTTATTTATATATTATCAGTATGATGTTATAAAGCCATTAAACGTCGCTCTTTCCAAAATGGACCAGAATCTGTTCTCCCGGAAGTTATGGACGATGAAGGAAAGATGTTTTTAGCTCTTTTCCCCCTTTTCCGGCCCTAAATGATGAACCATGTCAGTTATGTGGGAATAATTTTAGAGATGAAGATCCGAGAGACAAATAATCTTGGTATATTAAATCTGTCAAATTGTACGGAAAGAGGAAAATCTTTGACTGTTTAGGTATGCTAGTATTGATTACAATTTGTTCTTTATCTTGTTATTCTAATATCATTTACAAAATTTTCAGTTTAAGTTTAAATTATTAATATTTATGCAAGCAATAATCAAAACCAATACATGTAAACTGATTGTTTTGAGCATGAGCGTACATGGAAATTTAAGCCTAATGCATGTTGCCATGCGATCGAGGAAGTAAAATGGTTTATGGCATTTTTCGGGATTTGTTTCAAGAATATACGCAACATGGTTTCTTATTTCTTCTCAGTGAAATTACATAATTAAGCTCCCTCAGAAATTTCAAAGAGAAAAAGCTTCAACTTCCGAGTTTCTTTTTTTGTATTTGCTACTATAAAGACATGATTGACGTCTTTGGAAAGAAGGGTATTATCGTTAATGTCTTTTTTATAGTTTACAAACGGCCATGCTCGGGGGAAAATTGCGTGAATGATATGAAGTTTGATGGTTATTCTTACACCGTACTGAACATGGGGAATTACCTAATATCCTATGAAGTTCTAAGGGAATACATGTTCTTGTTTTTGAAAGGAGGGTTATAGTCATTGATATGCTTAATTGTTATTTTAGGTAATAGGATTGTTAAATCTACATCTTAGATTTACATTAACATTTTAAAAGCGTATTTTAAGAATTGTATCATCACCCCAGCTCGCTCTTAATAAACTTCACATCATATCACTGGTTGGTGAAGATTAAAAGTGCTCGTGTTCTTCCGAACGTTTGACAAAAAGTTACCAAGCAGCCTTGTACATGTAGATCAATTTAGCTTAATGTATTTTGTTTACAGTGTATCCATGAATACGTATTACCAGTCATGGGCGTTGTCTCTAGAGTCTTCTTTGAACATCAATTTAAACGATACGCTAAAATATAACCATTGGCGATCAGCATGGTATGCGTTCTTGCAACTTCTGGACATTGATTTCACAGATGGTTTTGAATGCCCAACGTGCAAAAGTGATCCCGAAATTACCATATGTATACAAGCTTGGCATATAGAAAGAACTTATGTTCAACTCTACACATCCCATCCACTACTACAACGGCACAATCCGGTCATGGAAGATAAGTATTATCAAGTTGATAAAATTTAATTGCAAAAAAATGTTAAGAATATAATGAAATCATACTTTGAATTTGTTTTGTTTGTTTTTTTACCAGGCACAGTAACAGAGTTTTTGTGAAATCGAAGGATACAAGAAAATCACTGAAGAGAGTTTGTACAGATGTATCCGCAATTGATATAAATGAGCTAAATACACTTCAATCCGAATTACACCAAAGTATACCGTCCCTGGCAAATTTTCTGGACTGGTGCCTTGCGATTTATGGTAATGAAGCCGCTTTTCCGATTGGTATTTCAAAGTTCATAAAGGACATTTCCTGTAATACCCCTATTTGTGCTATTCTCCCTCTTGATGAAGAATTACGACGTGTTTGTGACAAAATTAAAAGAAGTGTGCCTGTTAAAGAATTTCCGAGTGATATGGAATTGTTGCAAAGAAAGTGTCCTGCTTTATTTGGCATTTTCTCATCTTTAAGTGATTCATTTGCACCTGCAGAATTCATACCTTTGTTGACCGACCTGCTCAATATTGCTGACAATGCTTTCAAAGATTGTGAAGCACCGCAGGATGATTCTGTTGTAAATCCTTCCTCGCTGTTAGCAAACTTCCTTTCCCTAAAACCTGTTCGTGGCAGAGGGACATACGCTGCAGACAAAGGAAAGCAAACGTTTGAGAATCCATGCACGAAAAAGTCTGGAAGACATCCCACTCTTCTTCCTGGTATATTCCTTATTTTTTGTCAGCATGGTAAGTTCTCTTGTTAATGACTATTCTTTTAATTTTTGCTAACGCGCGATATCATATAATTGAAAACCAATTTTAAAACCCTTATATATCTTGGGTGTAAAAGCACCAGAATTCGCCATAATTTTGACGAGATCTTTTTTGTTATGGCTTATGAAAAACTGTAAAATGGTTATTAATACTATGAAATCGTGATAAGTGAAATATAAACCACATCAAACGAATGAATATATTGTACAGTATATCCTGCGCACAAGAATAAAGCAGCCTACACGATATTAGTTCTCACAACAAATTTATGATAATTTTTTCAGGTATAAACTATGGATACTCCGTAATGACTACTAACGAATCCCCAGATATGCCATTTACAATCTTGCGATCTCGATTTACACGAGGTAACACTGTGAACGTGTGATGGTTATCCTTAAGAAAATAGTCAAAGTGGTATTGCTCAGTTGCGGAAATTTATATTTATCATTTATTCCAAAGTACATACTCACATTACAAAAAAAGGTTCACTTTTCCTCAACTGACTTGTCATGTCATAAGACAATAACCTGCATCTTTTTATTAATAACAATGGTTTATCGCTCTTTTTGTAGCTCCTAGAGTCGTTGTATACGATAATGCTTGTAATTTGCATTCCTACTGTCTGAATCGTGATCCAACCTTTTTTAAAGACATGCAATTTTAGTAGATCGCCTTCACTGGGCAGATCACACAGGTAAGAAATAGCAACTGTATCCGTGATATCGAGAATTTATGCATGTGACTACTGCTTGTATAGGATGTGCGTGTATAGTATTGTACAGTGTACGCGCAGTATTTTTATACACTGTATTTATTCATTATCAAGGTTGTTCCAGCGCCTACCATATCTCTTGCTATCCTGACTATGAATATCTCAACAGTCAGATTGCCGAACAAAGCAACTCTAGACTGAAAAAAATTAAAGGACCCCTTTCTTATATGAATGACGAAAATTTCTCCAGACACTGTAGCTTCTACTTATGGTTCAAAAATAGAGAAATTATGATGAGAAATATTAACAGATGAATTAATAATTAGTGTAATAATGTAAATACGAAGGATAGTGACGTATAAGTGTCAGTTGAATGTGTATAAAACGTAACGCTTCAAAAATAAAGGGCTCCTTGTATAATTATTTTCATTATTAATCACCATGCATTCCTTTTCGGATGAAACACATGCACGGTATATTAAGATTGTAACATTTGATCCACCGCTTGCTATATGAGTGTTTCACACCAATACCCTATAGCGTAATAACCTCTATGAATTATAAGTTTGGTGGCACAGATTTCTTTAAGGAGTCAATATATCTTGTTTAGATTTACTTGACACAAGTTGTCATTCAATAAGAATATATACCGACGTATCAAATCTAAAACCATGCAACACATCCACTCGCAAAAGCATTTAGGAAGCCTGCAAAGTTGTGTCTGGGTAGCCGTTTAACTAATGGTGTGAGTTCGATTCTCACGCACAACGTGGGCTTTAGCCGCTATATATATGAACTTAAATTTTCAACGAACGTAACTAGTTTCTCGAATGAAATGACAAATCTGAATCATATTTCATGATATTAGAAAGCTTTTTTTACGAAACACCGTAAAAATGAACCATGGTTACATATACCCAGATTCTGGAATTATTAACCATGGGCTGATGAGTCTTTTACACTGAAATGTTCAACGGAAGTAACTAGTTTCTCGAATGAAATGACAAATCTGAATCATATTCTATGATATTAGACAGTATTTTTTACGAAATACCGTAAAAATGACCATGGTTAACTGTACCCAGATTCTGGGCTGGCATAACCTTGCATTTGGTTTCTGTGCCAATTTCCATGCTGAAACAATAAAATATTGGAAACTGTGATTACCATCATGCAAGCAACTTCATATTACCGTATTTTATTAACTAGATTCGTTCTGTTATACCCACCTACATTCTAACTCATTATTTCTAACATTCGTATTACCTTTCATCCTGTGGAGTGCTATCGTATCAGTTGTAGCTATAATGCGTAACAAGATACGCGTGCACCATGTAGTAAACATGATGCAGTCATTGTGAACCCTGGAAATGAAATGACGGTTTTTATACCCGAAGTATTGCAACAGAAACCTTATATGTTAAAAAAATGGAACTTTGCGACTTAATACTTACGAATGGTTACTTGTACCCAGATTCTGGAATTATTAACCATGGGCTGATGAGTCTTTTACACTGAAATGTTCAACGGAAGTAACTAGTTTCTCGAATGAAATGACAAATCTGAATCATATTTTATGATATTAGAAAGCATTTTTGATTAACTGTGAAACTACATTCTAACTCAGTAATTCTAACTTAAATAATTATGAACTGAAAAGCCTCAGATTGTGCGTGAGAATCGAACTCACACCATTAACATATAATGGTTGGCCAGACACAATTTTTAAAGCTTTTCAAACCTCTTCAAATAAAGTTTTGTTTTTTTTTCTATCGTGTGAACGTTCTTATCAACGCAACGCATACGGGCTTCGATAATTGGGGGGGGCGCATAGTCAATTACAACTTCGATATGCGTATCAAGGAAATCGCTATCGAATATCATGCATGCACGTTCACCTTAGGGTTGTTGTATTAAACGAATCGAGTATATTGGAGTTAACGATTTAAATACCAAATATGGCTGTTTTACAACCAGCCCTTGAAAGTAAAATGCATTGTTTGGTGCACCATTTAGACCCCGTCCACACAAGTGCGAAAGAGAAAATCAACCCGTTTATACTATAGGCACCAATTCTTTGGTAAGGCACGTATTATACAAATATTTACCTGTATCATTTTTATTAATGATTGCGTTACTTATTTGCATGTACAAAGCTAACACAGATAAAACTGGCGGTACGAATTTCATCCGTGCCACACAAAAAACATCAGTAGTGTGAACAGGCAAAGTGCATGAAACGGACGTACACGGAATCAGAGATTGATCGTGAAGTGCAATAGGCAAACAATGTAAACTCGAAACGTTCATACAAAATACATCATACATACTATATCGTATGTACAAACTAACTATATAACCTAGTGTCTCAGTTTTATTTATACGTTCAATTGCGGACAGGAATGCAACTTGCATTTGGCATAGAACAACCATGCTCTAAAATAGTTTAGACCCTCTGCCTTGCGGATTACCTGTACAATAGCCTAAAAATAGTAATAGTTACACGCTCGAATCATTATTTGCACTACACATTAACTATTTGTAGTTAGAGCAAAGAGCATTCAAGAAAAGAGACTCAAATGTGAAAAGCGAGAGTGAAGGGCAAATGGAAGATTCTAAAAACATGGATTACCTCGGGAAGAAGCACATCTTGAAGGAATGTGTTAGCATCTTCAATCCGAATTCCATTTACAACAGGAAGATAAGCGTCAAATAGTGATTGTACCTGTGTATTTATACAATATGGTAGTAATAAATTGTACTGTACACTATTTTCTATAATTAAATCATCACTAACATGAAAACTTTGCTTTCAATGGTCACGAATGGAAGAATTTGATGAAGAATATATTAGCAGAGAAGAGAAAATACTAAATGAGTATTCGGTTACCATATTAGATGACATGACGGGCCCATAATCGAGAGACTTCAGATATATCTTCATGTCCTCTGAGGAAGAGATGGCATGAGAAGAAGCTCCTGCCCTCAAGTACGGAATTACGTTCCTCTTAAGGTTCTTTGCTATCATCTTAAAAATTACATGAAAATGAAAATTAACAATCATATAGTTCAGTGTGTTACCAAAATGACATGTCCATGTCTGGAAATCTTAAGACCTTCAGTTCTTTCTTTGATAAACATCTTTCGAACATGTCCATATCATTGTATATCTCCCTAAAGATTGAAGAGATAAAAATTTATTAGCAGTGAAGAACCTAGTTACAGATTTCCCTAGAACGATGAAAAAACTGCCCATAATTCAGTATATAACGTACGCATTTTTTGTAGTCATTTGATTAGCATCTCCAGGTAAAGCATCACAGCCACAACTAAATCTCTCCATTCTATTGATGTGGCGTATAGATTGGCCAAGGCAGCAGGCGTGATACCACTCCTGACACAA